GTGGTCTGACGCATGGCGCGGCGACCCCCATTGGCGGAATCTGCTCTGACGACCAGCGGCGCTTCTGATTGGACACTTTGGTGGGACCCGGTGTAAATAAAAGAAGCCCTGCGGCGTGTCGCGATCGGCGGTCCTATGTGAGAGGCGTCCCCGTGTCGGAGTGCCGACATGTGTGTGAGTCAGCGGTCTTGGGTGAAAGACTGACCTATGTGTTAGAAAGAAGAGCTCGGCTCTTCGAGTCTCTGTCGGCCCCAGTGCCGAAATTGTAACGCCTCTGTAAATATGCTGTACATAAACCTTGTTTAACTCACCGTCGTCTCGTCCGCTCGTCTTATCAGCTCTGCGCAGAAGCAGTCGCGAGCTGATAAACATACGCTACCAAACGGCTGGTGACCTTCCCGGCGGAGTTGAAAGCAGTGGCGCCTCCGGGGCCGTGTTGGCGTCGCCGTCTTTCGCAACAGTGGTGGCTTCGGCGGGATCGGTCCGTCGTTCTCAACAGCGCTGCCGTCGCGCGCCGGCAGCAGCTCGCGCATGCGCAGGGCGCTTGAGGAGCGTAGTGTCGTCTGCGACAGCGGTGCGCGCTGACCACATTGTCGGGCAGCCTGCTCATGTCATCGTTGCGGCGGGAACAAGGCCGATATTCTGCACTAAACTTTGTGCGATACCAACCCGTCAGCCTTCACTGGCAATAATTTAGTTCTAGACGCAACATTAGACAGCGCCAGTTGCTTGATCTGTCGAAACGCCGTTGAACTGAGTACGTTCCTGTATATTTCTTGTGTGTGCACCGCAGTACGCTGCAACGGGAAGACCATAATGATCCCGTACCGTGCATGGTACTAATCTCACGCTAAAGAAAAACAAAATACTGCCGTGCAGTAATGAGGCATCAGCACAATATTAAAAAGAAAACAATCGAGCACGAGTTCAGGAATGCTGTAGGTCAAGATAACGACCTGAAAGTGCTTTTTCTCAACGACATTCATTACATGAGGCAGTACTCACTCACCGGCGCTGAAATGCACACGTGAAGCATCCAACTTCACTTAGTACCTCGTCATGTCCCCAGCTGCAGTGTTGACGGTACTCATTTTAGTCAGCAGTGAGTCATACAGTGACGCGATGAGCGATAGCGGCCTAGTTCCCGCAGTAACGACGAAATTTGCCCGGCAATGCGGCCAGCGCGCGCCGCCGTAGCAGACGACGCGGTTCAACCGTTCAGCACTGTGCCCCTCCAGCGTCTGCGCACGCGCAAGAAGCTGCCGGCGCGCGAGTGCCGCATCATGGCCGCATCGCGATGCCACGCGCTACGAGATATCCCCCATAAGTGTGAAACTATACGCTCACGGGCGTCCATCGAATAATGACTCGTAACCAAACGCAATGCAGCCTTTCACATTTCTAATCCCGTAACCTTCGTCAGCTTTCAGGGTCGGCGTGCTCATCAATTGCTCGCCTTCTTGCACAATAGGTGACCGGTAATATGGGCCATCGCAGGGAGCTGTGGGATACGACGGCTTCCGGTTCGACGCACCACGCGGGTTAGCAGCGGCACGCGCGCATTTCTGTACAGCTCCGTTGAAAGAAAACGTCTCTCCGTTCAATGTCAGTGCTTTAGAAGTTGATTTTTTGTTTTTGCTGACCATGACTGTGACGATGACAAGCTACGAAAGCCATAAACGGCAAGGAAACTTTTTTATCGCACTAGAATGATCTACAATGTTTTTATGCTGCTCGGGGGTACTGTCAGTTTGGCTTGTAGATCAGTCGATACAGAAAACAGTTTTCATTGTAGGATACGCTACTGCTGATAAAAAAATCACCATTTTAAAGATCTCAGGGAAAGCTGATGACTGTAGCGGTGTGCTAAGAGTTCATTTCGGGATCGCTGCTTCGGCCGACATCGTCGGGCGATCGGCATGAAGCGCAGCACTTATTGAGTGCGTTGAGATATCTTTTTCTTTTCTAGCCTTCAGCGCGCTGTAAGATGTATTTCTTAGTCGAAGCCAGATGCCTATTTAAACGCTGATCTTGATCAAGCTGCGCGGCATGGCGGCACATAAACAATGCAGTCAGGCATAGATGGCACCGAATGATCGAAACCCTGCGCTTTTTTAACGCACTTCTTTCTTTGGGTGCCCTCCTGGCGCACAGTTTGACCAGGATAACGCAAATGAACTCGTCCAGCGCTTCGTGTAAACTTACTCTTGAAAGAAGCTTGTGTGCTTTTTTCTTATATGTACGAGTGCAATGGCCGGTGCTCATCTCGTATGGCAAGTCGATTTCACCCGCGCGTTCCCATAATATATTTGCGAGGCGCTTGCGCGAGAATTTATTTCTCAATATAATATTCGTAGCAAATTCATACGTAAGCTTTTTTTTTTAGTGTAGAATATACACGTACATATGATAAAATGGTTTTCGCACACTCTGGCTTCAACGTTCCGTACTCAAAGGCTACCTCTCGTTGTGGCTCTCTTCACAGCCGCGGCACACCTCATTTTTTTTCTTTCTTCGTTCCAGGGGAATCGATACACACCGCTTGCCTCTCACGCTCAAGTTGAAGCAGCCAACGGCTGAACAACCGTCCGCGGTTTATCAGGACGAAGATAAACAGGCGACCACGCGCGCGAGTCCCGAATAATCTGAGGCTTGCGGCGAAGCGGTTCCCCGTCGTCTACTCTTCTCGAACCGGAAGTCGGTAGCGGACGGTGCATCCCACAAATCCTCGCTATTTTACTGGTCACCTATTGAAAATGAGGGGAGAGGGAGTCGTGGCTTCTCTGCATTGCCGCCAGGGCGCATGGCTGTGCGTGTTAAAGCGTCCGCACTAATCGTAGAAGCGCCGCCGATCAATGCGGCATGGGTCTCCCGCGTGACACTAGATCAATTCCATAGCCGCGCGGCTATTCTAGCTCCCTTTCACTTGTCATATGACCTTCGGCACGCCACCGGGCGCTAGTCACGTCAGTGAAGCGTCATTCTCGAAAAACGACAGGAAAAAAAAAGAGAGAAATCATTTCGTGCGGGTACTTTCAGCGGTCTCAACAAACCATCACCATGTGTCAAGAAACTCACGGCACCGAATTATAAGAACTCCACCTCAGGTACATCACGCAACCCATGGACTGACAGCAAGAGATATCGATACTGCGGCACATATTTTGCCGCTATAATTAGCACCCACAAACACACACAGACAAAAGGAAAACACAGGGAATACAACGTACATGTGCCCACTGAAGTGTGTTAGACGCAACATCAACGAGGACTAACGGAGAATGATGCAAAGGAAGGCATGCGTGGTGTTAGTTGTAGCAATTGTAATGTAAATGCAAAAAAAAAAGAAAAGTAAAAAAAAAGATGACTTGTCACCGGCAGAGACAGAACCCGCTACCTTAGAATGTTCGAAAATTGCAGTTTCGGTCTCTACCCACGGGAAGCCTTCTTTTCTTTCACTTTACTTTCTTCACATTTACATTACAATTACACAAGTAACACTTCGCAAACTTTCATTGGCATCATTGTGCATCAGTTCTCACTAACATTGCGTCTAACAAAGAAAAACGAGCCTTTAAAATTTTACTTCTGTCCTTCATTTTGTTTGTCAACTTTTACGGCGAAGTCTGTGCCCTTTAGCACGTATACCAACTTTTCCGTGCACATCGAGAACAGCTATGTAGATACGGAATACCGGGCCGCCAAAAAGACAATCACGCAACCCTGGCATATCTAACACCAAAAACTGTGCGCTGACCCTCTGTAAACAACACTACTTGCGATTGCGTATACTTGCAACACAAACTCAGTTTCACTCTGCCTGGTTCCCGCTATCCCAGCCATCTCATCGTGGTTTTCACGTGTATGACGTAAATAGGGCAGCCTTATCCAGGCAGCTGCACGACATGCTGATGTGGTTACGCTCTGGGCCTCATTTTATGATATTAATCAAAACGGTCCAGCTTTCACGCCCGAAAACCCGCGACATGAGAGGCACTGTACTAAAGAGCTCCTGAAGTTTCGAACACCCGGAGTTCTTTAACGAGCACGTAAATCTAAGCACACAGTTTTCTAGCATTTTGCCTAGACCTAAGTGAGGCCGGCGCGGCTGCAGTTCGATCCCGAAACCATCATGTCAGCAGCCAAGCATCATAACCATTATTTGAAGATGTAATAGCTCGACGATCCTTCCTCGCTGGGCTAATTAACACGAACGTAATAAAGCAATACTTAGGAAACGCTACCACGATTATACTGGAACGTTACCCGTTAGTAAATATTTTAATTGAACGTTACTGTTCCCCTTCACATTATTAGAGAGTTTTAGTACTGCGGAATGGTGCTACGTACGCATCACGCAAGCGCCTTGCGTTACGTGGCGTCGTTTGCCACTAATCGGCTTTTAGTACGCCGTAGTACCCGCGTACGTAACGAGCGTGTTGCGCCGTCTGGTAGATCAAAATAGAATCACGTGTTGTTGACAGCCAATGTGAGCCAATCCAAATGTTATAGCCAGATTATGGCCATATTTTAAGCCACTGAGCCAGTCGGTGCTTGCCTTCACGGAGGAAGGAAACTTTTCCTTCCTCCGTGCTTGCCTTCGATGCCGCCATTTTGCAAAACGAAGTCTCGCGCTTTCGCGAACTTGTTCGAGAGCGGCGCGTTCAGCTCATACGTACGCACGCATGCATCTCATGCGTGCGTACGTAGCGGATTCGTACGTAGTAACGCGATACGTGCGCGTTGCGGTCTGCGCATGCGCACTACGCAGAACGTGGCGTCCTTACGTACGCAACGCCGCCACGTACGCAGCGTACGCAGTACTAAAACTCTCTATTATCGTACAAGTGTTACATCTCTAGCTGCTCGTTCGTGACACGCGGCCTGTCTCGAGCAAATAACGAGCCAACCACGGAGTTCGCGGAAACGCTAGGATCGACTCGACACGCTACCAAACGTGCAAGCTGACAATCAAGGGCTCCTACGCGTGCTTCACTCACAGTGGGCCGTCGGCGATCATGGCGCACATGAGGTTGAGGTCGTTGATGAACTGCGGCAGGTTGACGTATGGGAAGTCCATGGGCTTCTCCGCCGCCACGTCCTCCTTGTTCTTGTAGACGTGCACCACGCCGTTGTGCATGCGCAACTCGCAGTTCATGTTGGGCAGCACTTCGCAGTTCCAAGGCTCCGTCACGGTGGGCACGCAGTAGAAAGGGTGGTCTGTCGCACCGCCCCCAATCAGAAACCAGCATTATCGGACGCAATACGCTCTATTGTTAGTATCATTTCGAACCGGCGGAAGTGCGAGCGGCTCACGCTAATTCACATCGGCACATTCGTACTGGCTCAGGGTACATATAACAAAATAAGAAAAACCCGAATTAAAAACATGCGCGTATAATTTTATTGACTCGCGAAGCCCATCAGAATGCGCGAGCCAGGACATGTGGGTCTTCGCCTAACGAATTAGAATGATGATTCCTTTCTTGAAGATGCTAAGTGCAAAGCGGTATAAATTACGGTACTGAACGAACAGATAGAGTAGGTAAGCTAGAATATGCACATAATAACGGTTATTGATGTTACCTTTGTTTAACGTAACTGTTCAACTAGTTTAGACCATATCAGTAGAGTCGTGTAAACGACGTGCGAACATATGAATAGACTGTGCGCTATTTAGGTGTGACTAATAGGTCTCGCTAATGAGCCTGCTACTTTATAGAAATACAAGTATACAAGGGTTGCGATAAGTAAATACAGTGTATCTATATAAAATTGCCGATATATTTCTAAACGCTGATGTCAAGAAAAATATAATAGGCTATCGAAAGCAACTCGCTTTGCGCAGCCGAAAATGGCAATCCGTAGTACCTATGATATCTTGCAAAGACAGTCATAGAATTAGCAGGCTATTAATTTCTTTACATTACACGTTTACAGGCTACTTTCATAACGCGAGTAATCAGAATGCTTCAACTACGACCAAATAACAGGATCAAATCATATGCAATATTGCAGTTACACCACGGCCTACGAAAATTCGAAAGGGCAGTAGCATCATCCAGGTATTCGCATACAGTAAGCATGCTATAAAAACCAGGAATATTAGACTGCAGCGAAATGCAGCACAACATTCTGCGCTACGGTTACATCTATAGGAAGCATACTCAACTTTCAATCAAAGGCACTGAGAATGTTAGTATAGTGTACAATACCAAAATTTCGTGGTTAGCAATCTAGGCCTACCGGTGATCTCCAGCGGACAAATTAGGGTATCGAAAAACCGTTCAGAGTATTGGCGTCTCGAGTGGTGTCATTCATTTGTCCCAGCTAACGCTAATAAATGCCACGAACGCAGAACCGCGATGAGAAGGTATAGATTACTACTGTAGTCAGCTCGTATACAGAATAGCAGGCTCATCGACCTAAATGACGACGAAAACATTAAAGGGGTCTGCCCACAAGAGGAGGGGGGGCAGACACCTGTGTCACCTACAAAAGGGGGGTCGAAATCAACGGGGAAGGGGGGCGCTGCAACGTACCTTCACCCCCCCCCCCCCAAAAAAAAGAACCCTACGCACGCTTAGAATAGCAAGAGTTTTTTTTTTTTTTCAATCCTTCGCGCGGCCCTCAAACAGTGACCGCAACGCAAGAAGTCAGAAATACGTATGAGAATGAAGCATCTGACTGTAGTATATACAACTCTGTTTCATGAATTCGCTGGTTTCACCAATTCTCTCAATAATAAGCACGCCCAGAGACCAGAGTAACCTATATCAGCAGCGGCAAAGGTCAAGTAAATAACGTGAAACATCGTACTCGCGAACAAAGGCACGGACAGAATAGGAAAAGACGCACAACGCCGCAGGCAAACTGTCAATGTACGTCTCTTCCTACCTAGTCGGTGTCTTTACTCGCCAGCCCATTGTTTCGCAGTATTCACAAAAACCAGCAAGCCAAGCTCTAAACGCTCAGTAAAGGTCAGGTCTGTTGGCATCTCGGGACGCTGCACTATTGCACCACACGGACACCGACTGCATAAGGGGTGGGTGCAAGGTACTAAAGCACGATTCATCACTACTAAGAATCGAGTCCTCATGAATAAATTTTAAAAGCAACAAAGGCTGTCACTGTGAGACAGCGGAGCTGAACTTCCGCAACACAACTGCGTCACCTATGGAAGACGCCAAGGTCTGAACGGCATTTTTTTTTTTGTTTTTGGCAAAGTGGAGAGCACAAACTTCGACGTTTGGTTCTGATGCTTTTTGTATACTTTTTTTTCGAGGGGGAAACAGATGGTAGAGGGAAAGACAAAAAGTATGGCAGCTCCTTAGGGCACATGCCAGGAAGTGAAAAAAAGGTCTGGCAAAAGGGGGGCCCTCAACATGCAAAAAATCGACGGTATACCTTTAGTTTTAACCCGTTTGGTGGTTGGCACCTTTAGACCTTGGAAGAGCAAACCATCGAGTGATATAAAAATACGAAACAAACAAACAAAGGTGAAAAAAGAAAGAAGGCAATAAAAATGTCAAAAGATTCTTTAAAGGTAGTACAAGTTTGATGCATCGAAAAAACAAAAATTAAAGTACAGACGTAAAGAAATCAAACAACAAAATTTTTAAAGGCCCCGTCGACAAAAAAACAAACAAACTGATATGCACTTAGAGAAGCATAAAGCAAACAAACACAGCGCTTACACAAATACCACAATCGCTGGCAGCACAGGGCTTCTTTTCAATCCAAAAAGTAACATTTTTAGCGTTTCTTTTGCATGCACACGCATTTCATGGCAGCGTTGACAAGCTACTCTAGACACGCAAGGAAGCTACGCTGCCGTATAGGTAATGCAGCAATCTAATTAGATTTACCCGAAAATGCACCCAAATCAGCACCTCCGGAACAGCTCCCGATTGTGGGCGCAATTTTAGAATCCGCTTAATAGCGGTCACAGTGGCAGTAAAACACACCCAAAGCGTCACAAATTCACTGAGAAAACATGCTATCTCTACTCCGTCTTCGCCACGTCAACCCACACAACAACGCATGCAATATGGAAACAGCCACAACGGGCAATTAAGCCGCCAGACAACACGACGATAAACAGGCGTGCGACGACAAGAAAAGAACACTGCAATAATGTATACGAGTAAACTGATATCATTATCTGTGCTGGTCTTGTGGGACTTTAGAGAAACAAAACGTTTTAATTACGGAGAGAGACAAGACAGTGCTTACCCGCCGAGCTGAACATTTCTTCCGGGGAATCGAGGTCCTCGAGGGGCTTTCCTTTTAGTTGGTTAAGAAATCTTTTCGTCGCCTTGGGGAAAGACTGGTGAGAAATTTCCATGTACTTCTCTCTCAACCTGAGTGCGGAGACGAGAAGTTTAGAAGCCTGGTGCAAGTCTTCCAGGGGAACCTGGCGGGGAAACAGAAGATGCCGAGACCGAGTACCACGTCAGCCAATCCTCAAAGACGTCGTAAGCTCGCCCCAGTCTGCAGCGACACAACGGTAACGATAGTCTGGGGTTTTTTACGTTTCAAAACTACGTTATAAAACATGCCGTAGTGGAGGGTTTGGGAGATTTTGACCATCTGGTGTTCCTTAAAGAGGTCAAAAACTGACTTTTTTCGATCCAGTTTTTTTTCCTGCGCAACGGAAAGCTTACCCTTCGTAGTGATCGTAGCAGCAGTAGTTAATACCAAGAGCTCGTAGTCATTTTATAAGCAGTATTTTTTCAATCTGAATGGCTCTGAACACGGTAGTGCCTTTTCATCCGGCAACGCTGAGTATAGATAGCGATGCCGGTAGCCTTTCTGGCGGCTTATGCATGCTGTCGTTGTTCTTATTTCGCAGGATTTCCTGGAACTGTGCTTAACCATGTTTATTCTGCGCTTTACAACTATTTTTGAAAATAACAAGCCATTACAATGAGACGATGTGGCTCTATAGAGCTTCCCTGAACTTGTACCGCGTCGCCAAGTCAAGTAATCGAAAACGGAACTGCACATATGTCACGCAAAGGCAGCGCCACTTTAATGCGTAGCAAGCTTATACGCATACTTTTATAAAATATTATCTTTTGCTATAAAGAATCAAACAATACTTCAGTACTAATCAATAAATTTTTGACCGTGTATACATTAACGCATGATCACGTGACATGGCATCCATGACAGTTTATGTTTTTGCCACCAGAGACGCCACAGGCCATTTTCGCGATTTTCAATGAAGAAATAAAAATAAAAATCCACTTCTCACGAGAAAAACAGGGTTCATTTGAGTCACTACAAGAGACAATCTTTCCATACGTGCAGTCATCTCATTTCACGTTCCGGGCAGTTGTCGCTGCGTTTTGACGTGCACTGAAATCACCTAAAAAGAGCAAGGGGGCTTTTGCATGTCGCCTCCATTGGAATGCGGCCGTAGCGGCCAGGGTCGAGTTCGCGAACTACGAGTTATCAGCCGTGCACCGCGACCACTGTACCGCCGCGGATGCCGAAAAATCCACGCATCTCCTCCAAGTGAATCATGACGAGTGGGCGAAGCTACCACGTTGAAGTCACCGCCTTGATTAAATGGTTTGTGTAAGCGTTTTACATAGTACTGCAGCCAGCCACAATTATGATTGACGCTAGTCTATACTGTTACACCTTCTTGTTTGTGTGTGTTTCACGTATACTGTATGCTACCGAGCGTTGTCCCGCATAATGCAGCCGTGACACCGGAAAAGCCTCGCGCTCAAGGTGTTTCACCCCTAAAATGTGACAGTCACGACTTTCACTGCACTGCGGCGTAGCGCAATGTGTGAGCGCGTTTCCAAATGCAGATCGAGCGATATAGGGGACGCGTCAAATGTACACCTTGTGGCATGGACGCAAGTTCATAAGCCCGCGGAGCACTCTACATGATGAGACGTCGAAGAGCACGCAGGCACCTACATACATCGGCGACCAAGACACCAAGGGATGTGGCGTAGCTGGTCAGATGCCTCATATACTGACCCCGGACGTGTCCTCGCCGCTGATTGCCACACGCTGAAAGTGGGGCACAAAGTCCAGGTCGTTGAGCTGTGCCAAGTTGTCTTCCATCTCCTTGACGTCGCCATCGAAGTAACTTTTGCGCTCCTCGAGCTCCTTTTGCGCTCTGAAAGCAACCAAGAAAACGGAGTCAGTCGCTAAATCGGAATATCGAGAGTAGAAGCTATACGCTACCAAAAATAAAAATAAATGAGCTGAGAATGCACTGCCACCGAATACAAAACAAACAAGGCACAGTTTGAAAAATCGCAAATAATGCCAGGAAAACAAAACGAAAGAATATGCAAAATGATCCAGATATTAACCGGGTGCGTCATTTTTGCCACGATAACGTAACAAAGGCAAGCCGATTTCCGAAACAACCACACGCGTCCATCACAAACGTCAGTATACCGTATACTACCGAACAAAACAATTAAGCGTGCGTCCGAAGGTCACAGCTTAGTGTCTCAGTAACACAGGACGTTTATGATAAACCTACACAGCTGCATGCCACCGCCGATTGTTGCTGGGAGGACGTGCATCACGAGACATAGAAATCTGCGGAAAAAGCTTACCGGGAGGCGAATTCTGAGTAATCAGGCGGAAACGTTGTAGGCCCGTGTGCTCAGATTTGGGCGCACGTTAAAGAACCCCAGGTGGTCAAAATTTCCGGAGCCCTCCACTACAGCGTCTCTCAGAATCATATGGTGGTTTTGGGACGTTAAACCCCACATATCAATCAATCGATCGATCAATCAATCAATCAATCAATCGAATTCTGAGTAATCACGTAAAAGGCAACTGTGAGTCGATAAACAGCGTAACAAAAATTAATAGCCGGTCAAAATAATAACAAACCTAATCGACCACACCAAACGAAGACTACGATAAACACACAGAAGCGACCAAGCTAGACTCGAGGTCAAAACGCACGCGTGCGGGCTTTTCCGCACCTGGCGAACGGCAAGTGAATTCCCGCGACCCGCTCGGTTTGCTTCTGACAGTCCCTGAACAGCTCGGTCCTCGACTGGGCGCACCCCTTCCGGACCAAGGGACCGACGCTGGTGCTCCTGACGGCGCTCCTGACGTGCGTGACGGCGTAGTACTTGGCGCGGAGGGCCTCGGACTCGCCGTTGTCGTCCTGGTAGTCGCACAACGAGTAGCCGATCTCGGCCAGGTTGCGCAAGTTCGGCGTCACCACCACGCTGCCGCCGCTATCGACGACGCGCGCGGCCGCGACGAGCGTGGGCGCGTTCGCCTGGCGGGACAGCCTCTTCCAGGGTCCCTCCGCCGGCGTCGGCGTGCTCGACACCTGGTCCGAGCCCATCGCCGAGGCCCCAGCCATGTATGGGCCGGACGCCATGCAGCCGGCCACGCCGGCCGACTGCCGGTCCTGTTGCCATCAACGGCACAGACCCACAACAGGGATCCGATGATGATGATGGACCTTCAGGTTTGCTGGCACTCGCCCACAAAGGGGGATCGGCCAAGAACAGGGATCTGGCCAAGGAGCGCGACACCAAACGATGATGATGATGATCGTAGGCGTGTCCACAAAGAGGCCTACACCCCCCCCCCCTCCCAAATCTCGGAAAAGGGGCAACAACTCATACCCCCACGCCGTTATGAAGTCGGAGTTGTCTCGTAGTTGCTGAAAATGGTCATGAAGATTTTTAACGATAATGGCCGCCGAGTACTCCTGAAGTTTCGCTTCAAGAGCTGCTCACTTCCCATTTTTTGTCGTCGTAAACACGGGGACTACAGACAGGATATCTATAGGTGAGTTCGGTTAATAAGAAGGGATGCGGCTAATCTTTGCCCCTCCCTAAAGGAGAACCCATCGCAGGCCAAGATAATGATGACGATGAGGAACTCGGACGGTGGCGCATACCCGTTACCGCAGTATCCGAATAACTGAACGAAGGTTCCCGAGCCCGGCTTGGTGGACTAATCGGTAGTGCCTCATGAAAGGTTACAGCGCACATAGACGGGGACGTTAGAAGATCAGCGCTGTGTTCTTCCTTCGTCCCCGCCTATGTGCGCTGTAGCCTTTCATGGTGAATGACAGATTGATATTGTTGCGCAGCAGTAGCCTTAGTACATAAGAGTGTTCTCTACAGTATGGACACGTAACATGCACCGCGGTATACTAGCCAAATGATCCTGCACTCACCTCTTCCTGCTCCCTGGGAGGCAGGGAAACCAACTTCCTGCACGGAGGCGCCGAAATGTTTGGCCACGCGTGCTCCCTCCACCCCCCCCCCCCTTCCCCGACGTGTCCCTTCTCTGTCGCCGCACCCAGTAATAAATTCATGACCTTATAGGATACCCAGGTCAAATCTAGATAGCCTGTATACTTCCCCGCGGTTATCCCAAGTGAAAAAAGAACAAAAAACGCGATAACGCAAATGAATGTCATACACTCGTCTGGACTCAGGCCTTCGGTTTTGCAGCAGTATCACCACACAAAACAGCCAACAACACCCAATTCACGATACATGCAGAGAATGACAAGCTCACACTTACTTGCTTCCTTTCTCCCTGCAGCGGTTGTAGAAAAAACAGAGACGGCACATGTGTTATTGCGGTTGGTTCAGTTGCCAACGTTAGTTCATACAACTCAACGCTTCTTCGAACAGCACGACAAGCATGCATCAACTGCGACAGGGTCAGTCAAGAATTTGCGCGCAGAGTGCCCACGGCACCACGTCACGCCACCACGATCGTTTGCGTTTGCTATGTTTACTACGTACGCGCGGACGGAGGGAAGCGTCGACAGCGCTCGTGCGAAGCGTGGAAACCCGAGTCGGTCTTCCCGTCGTAGTAGAAAAAAAGGAGAGGGCGCCCCTTCACTGCCCCCCCCCCCCCCCTCCTAATAACCTGCATGGTCACAAGACGGGACATCCTGATGCCGTGACTTCGACGTTACGCTGAGCTCGTTTCGGCATAGCGCGCGGGAGCGTATCCTATGACGACGACAGAGGGCGCGTGAGTACGCTATCACGAGATCGAGCTCAGTCGCCACCTGGCGGAGTGCGAGAAACAGAGAGTCACGCGGGTTGTCTTTGTTATGGAGGAAATAAACTAGGAGAGAGAGCATCACGTTGCGCTGCTGCGTGCCTATATAGGCAAGTGAACCCTCCGTGAGCCTATTCCCTTCACTTTCCCACTAGCAGCAATGGTCCAACATGTGACCACTGAGCTCGGAATGTGCGTCCTGACGGCATGGTCACGTGTTCGACCGATACTCACTCTTTTCTTTTGCTTCCATTGTGTCGCGCAATGCTTGTTACTAATCCCTCTCTGCCTTTCTGTAAACAAACTTATCTCTCGCTCTTCCTAACCTTACGGTCTCTGCACTACTTCATCATTTGTGTTCTGTACCCTTCCCACACCATATTGCCAGACACTCACGGAAAGGCTTGCTTTTATATCTTAATTTTTTGAATATAAATGCAAGAATCAAAACGGATGCTGTATAGTTTATGCTTTGAAAGGACAAGCGTTTACATTACAAGGACGATCCGCCGAATGGAGAGGCTGAATGGCTGTACTGTCTGGCCTTGAGCATGACATCCGGGATTCAATATTCGGTCTCAGGTACCACACATAAAGCTTTGTTTGTTTAGACGTGTCCTTTAAGAGAAACTGACCAATACCTACAAAGGGGATTAGTCACAGTGTCTGGTATAAACACAAATTAAAACGTTGTGACACACAAAAACAGGGGAGGATGAAATGCAGTGTAATTAAAGATCAGAGAGATAAAAGGATTCAACAATCAGTATATAAAAGACAAAAAAAGAAGAAAAAATCATAAGGTGCATGGCGGAATGTAATAACGTCACTGCACCAATAGTACCGCGCAAAAGTTTATTATGGCCCCGCCACGGTGGTCTAGTGGCTAAGGTGCTCGGCTGCTGACCCGCAGGTGGCGGTATCAAATCCCGGTTGCGGCGGCTGCATTTCCGATGGCGGCGGAAATGTTGTAGGCCCGTGTGCTCAGATTTGGGTGCACGTTGAAGAACCCCAGGTGGTCGAAATTCCCGGAGCCCTCCACTACGGCGTCTCTCATAATCATGCGGTGGTTTTGGGACGTTAAACTTCACAAATCAATTAAAAGTTGATTATGAATCACTACAAGTGATTGTCTCTTACGAGTAACAATAAATTACTTTTTAAAACTGCAAGATATCGCCTCGCACACAAAAGTTTTCATTGGGGTAGTATTGAAAATTGGGCAAGCTGGTAACGATTCATTTTTTTAAGGTTGCCACTCGATAATATTTTAACGGGTCCCTGTGGCTTGAATTGAACCGAGCTACTTGATAGCGAAACCGCCGCGTTATCATACGACACCCCCATCGACGCACAAATATCGTATACGAGGAATGCCGCGAACTCATGGCAGAGCTCGCTGACGCGCGATCACGCAGCAGCAACTTTCTGGTCTTAACCAGGCCACCGCAACAAACGTCTGAGGGAAACAGGCCCCAATATGACTTTTCACCTATCGGCTGAAATCAATCGAAGACATGCATGTGCGCCACCGGATTCGCCAGGGCGTTGGCTTCACACAACGCTAGCGCACTTAATGAGCCGCGCGGACAGGCCGAACTTTGCACTCTGCCAAGTGTGTGAAACTTTTGCCCGTATATTTAGCGACTGCCCGCTTTACGTGACACAACAGAAGACGCCATAGCTTCAACGCTGGCAGGCATATATAAGTAGAAACAGTCGGTTAACGTTGCATTTTGCCCTCAATTTGCGATAAGACGGTGTCAAAAACTGCTGCGAGGGCTGTTCTAGATTTTCTAAAGAGCGCTAGACTAGACGCTAATCCTCGTATTCTAGAACGTCCCTTCACTCAACGCTTCACCTTCACTTGAGAAAGCCGATGGGAGCGCCATCTGTAGGCGCAGCAAGTCACTGCACATCAGCGACAATCTGCTGCGATTCTTGAGTAGCGCAACGTCATTTTTGAGCTGAGCAGTGGCGCAGTGCTCAACTCTGTCAAGTGAAGGGTGAAAGTCGAGTCGAGGAGCGTTTGTGAACACGGGGGTAAGCGGTAGCGAAGTTGCTGCGCTAGGTGGCTTTTGCAGAGGCGCTACAAAAGTAGTAGAA